ACATCTTCAGGTATGGAATAGATGTTGTTCTTGTTTTTTCTCTCAGTAATAAGAGGACAACGAAAATATATGTATTGTTGTATTCGAAAAATGCTATTGGAAATGAGTTATTGTTTTTGGAGCGTGCAGTAGCAACGCTGAGTTTGATTTTAAATTTTACAGTTTTGCGTTCTTGTACAAATATGGTGATGAGCGAATTCTTTTTACTGGTAAATTTTCTGTTAAAGTGGCATGAACTATATTGTTCAATAATTACAGTAATGTCGCACTTAAAAGTTGCATTTGGATCAGTTATTTTAATTTCAATAAAGGTGCAATCAATTTACAAATTCATGAATTATTCATACAAAAACAAATACAAAGGTTAATGATTTAATTGGCGAGACATATATATATATTACTGATAGGTCAAAATATTAGGATCAGCAATATTTTGTTAAGAATAACAGCTATTGTCTCGTGACATTTGCCCTTAGCAGAATCAGAAGTTTTTTTTTTCATGCGGTGTCCCTTTAGGACGTAGGAGATGATGGCCACAGATTCGTTTTCTTTATTATCTTTGAATTGTCATGTATTCTTGAGAAAGATATTAGAGTGGTTTATCCGTTACTTTCTCCACGGTTTTGTATTCAAAATAGTTCTGACTGGTTGCCACACAAGGCTAAGAGCCTAGTATACGCTACTTTTTAACCCCTAGCTGGCGGGGAAAAGAGATAGACTCATGTCATTACCAAGGGCATAGTGCAAAAGTCTACAGACTAACCTAGAATTTGAACTCGTCTAGCCGATTCTAATTTCAATGTCAACAATCGTAATATTAATGGCGCATCCTTAATGACGGCTTCGAGTTCTTCCTGATGCCATATTGAATGCCGTTGTTATATACAAGAAGAAAGATTTGAGTGATCTTGATAAAGGTTGAATTTCTATCGCATTTTCCGGAGGATTGTGCAGTTCTTATGTACAATGGTGATGAGCTCATATCGACAGGAGGAAAAAATAGCAACCACTGACAAGATACTGGGCGGCCAAAACTTATCGATGCGAGAAATTAATAAATTAAGTGAAGTACTAAGTCACTGAAGCAAATTACTTTTGGGGCAAATTAAAGAAAGGTATGCGTCCTAACAGACTGTACACAGAACCAGACAAGAACCAACATCTATTAACGACGAAAACATCTTTAATAGGCATGCGAGCGACGAAATTGGACCTGATAGGTCAGGTCGATTTTGCAACCGTGATATTGTACTCAATTTAAAACTTGGTCTTTCACATGATAAATAATGGCGCAAAATAGTTTTTTTTTCCAAATCCTTACCTTTTCGAGGAAATGTCTAAATATTAAGTCTAGCGTTGTAATTTCATTCTGGTGATCAGTGAAAGCCTTATAAAATTTATAATTTACTTAAGCTTTACAAATTGTATATGCACAAGATGCATGATGGCACAAGCTCATTGTTGCTAAATCATTGTGGCATCAAATAAGACCGTCATTTACTTCAAAGGGAAATTATACTGAACACTGTATCTATATTATGATGTAATATGTTATACAGTGCAGTTATTTTAGTGTGATTTTTCAATAAACAATGCAAATTTAAATCATTTTGTCATATAAATTGTGTCCAGCAGTATTATGGGGTTATATACATTTTTATTGGGAAAAACATCCTCAAAAGATACTCAAACACTAATAGCAATAATATTTCTGAAGCAGGCATTTATAAAATAAATTACCAAAACTGTTCCTCCCAATATATTGGAGAAACAAGCAGAAATTAAAAAAAAAACACATCTATAAGCACAAAAGAGACCTCACAAAAAACAACTTAATTAATGCACTAGTCATACATAAAAGTAAATTCAATCAATTTTGATTTTAAAAATGCTACACTCATAAAAAAGAAAATAACTCACTCAGAAGGAAAATCCTCGAGAGTGCCACCATTGAATATTATCCATATACATTTTTATCTATTTTTTGTTTTTATTAATTATGACCTAACAAATGGTGCAAGATCTTATTTATTGAGTAGCCTTTTATTAATCTATTACAATTTTTTTTACTGCTTTTACTTAACGAAAATAGTAAAAGTTGCATATTTTGCTTGTGGTAGTTCATGATTATAATTCTGGTTTGAGGATATTTTCCATTCAATGTATCTAATAGAAACATATCAACTTTATTTGGATTTATTATTGAAATATTAATATTTGAATTTAGTTTGTAAGCAAAAACTTGAGGAAATTATGTATTTCAGTACAATCGTTTCAGGCGATATTTAAAACTAAATGCTCAAAAATTAGTAAAAGCTACGAATTTAAAGTTTAGCATAAATACTTATTACATCAAACTACAACTTTCGCATTGAGTGCAATGTTGATTTTCTAAACGAAGTGAAACATCAATCTGCTCTATTTCATCAATAGAAAAAAAAAGATATATCAAGTCCGATAGACACGTTTTCTCACGAATGACGATTGAGCGTACGTCGTTATCCTCGTGATAGGATTTTAAAAAAATGCTATGTGTGTTTCCGGTCATAGGCAACCACGGTTTTCCACAGATTCCTTTTTCTTTATTATCTTTCATTTTTATTTTATCACTATCGGGTATATGAGTCAGCATTCCTCTTATTCGGTACCCGACATATCGCATAAACCGAGTTTAAATAAATCATGATAAATTTGATGAAAGAAATCCCCGTCAAAAATGAATAATAACGGATCATCCTTCTGGGAAGAATTTCAAATATCAAGTTTAATACTGCTAGTGTAAATATAAAAAATAAAAAAAAAGAAATACCTGATTGACATTGCTTCATGTAAGATTCCAATAATATTTCTTTTAATACTACGGATGTAACTAAAGTCAAAGAAATGAAGAGAAAGCTTTGTAAGTTTTACTGGGATCTTATCTATTTGAGAAAGATCTAATTTGCTGGCACGTAGAAGAACAAAATCTTATTCATAACATTTTGGCAGTGTAGATTCGGAGAAAGTAGCGGTTGTTAATTCTTTAAGTCTTCGATATCAGGTTGACAGTGAAGATAATTTGGGAGAAAAAACAAAATGGCTGCCTTTATACACGTCGCATTGAATATTTTGAGCTTTCTGATTGGTTATTCCTTCTATTGGTGGACTATAAAATGAGTCAGCTCATTTTGGCTTGCTCACTAGTACTTACAGGGTACCCAAAAATTCCAACAACATGTTTATGTGTTTTAGTTCACATGTACATGTTTATATGTTCATGTGTTCTAGTTCATATATTTGTATGTTTCAGTGCATGTTTTCATATGATCTAGTATATGTTTTAATATAGTTTAGTTCCCATTTCAATATATCCATATGTTCTAGTTCACATGTTCATTTGTTCTAGTTGATATGTTCATACGCTCTAGTTCATATATTCTCGTTCACGTGTTCATATGTTCATATTTTCTAGTCAGGTGTGTATTGCATTGCTTCTGTCTACCATTTCGTTTGAAGAATTGATTTTGCATAAACACCACGAACAGTTTATCGGAGGATTACATTTTAACCTTAAACACAGAAAAACATAAATATCTTCTGAAATTCAAAACTCGTTTTCAGTTCTCACAACGGCAAAGGCTAGGTTGACTGATGCCATGTTTCGTTTTGAGGGTCGATATTTACTTGACGGCTCAAATGGAGCACAAGTCAAAAATAGATTCCCCAAATAATTTATAGTGCTTTTGTAATAAACCGAGACACAATGAAAACTATGATTTTAATTTAATCAAAGTAAAGTTACAAACTAAAACTTGGTTTTAGTGCTAATAATATACTGGACCTTCAGTTGGCAATGTTAACTGAAATATATAACTTTTAAGTGATATTAACCCATGATAGTTAACATGTTGACAGACAGAAACAATGATTTTCAGTATACTCTAACTCAATGTACTCTACAGCCTTGTACCTCACATACTATAAAAATTCTCCAAAATTACAGTTGAGTTGGCTAGATGTAACCGTGAGTTCTCTGCTAACTGTTTCTTTTCTCGCACTTCTCGCTTCTAAAACTTCCTACCGGCTCGATGCTTTCTAGCTAACTTTACTCTTCAAGAATTTAAATACCATGTCATTCACTATGTACTCTCCTCCTGATTACTATTCTTGTTCTTGCTGATCAGTAATTTTTTTTGATTCTAATTCTTCCACACACTGTAATGTCTTATGTCTTAGTGGCTTACTTACCTTGCATGTGATGAACTCGATTAAAAAAAATGTATTGTTTAAGGGAGAACTTTTATTGAATATCAAACAATCGGTTTTCAAACTCCGGGTAAAAATAGTGTTCTGTTTTGGGTAACGAAGCTATTTAAAGTAGAGCCTCACATATGTTGCACGTAATAAACATCCGATAAAAAAAAAAAAAAAAAAAAAATGGAACGCCAACTTGTATAAATGCCAATTTTACTGTCAAAATATTTGTACGAATGGAGAAAAATTATTTGAATAGAGAACATTTATATTATAAACTAGCTTAAAAGCCACCCTATCGGGCGGCATTTAAGCTAGCTCCTAGCAAGGGCTCTTGATTGGGCCTTCATCAAATTAGGTAGAGAGTGGTGGATGCGATAGGCAACAATAAAATGTGACACACTGACATTAGCATTTATTATTTATAAAATATGAGCTAATTTTCTGTCCTTCACACACTGTCCGTGTCACACACTGTGTTAGCAGGCACGTATGTAATATTTTATACGTATTTCTGTGTAATGCGTGAATGACTTATATGTGCTTGTGACATTTAATGTACACGCACACACATACATACACACATAATTTGACGTAGTTTGAAATAAAACATTGGCATAATATATTACATATCCTCTTAGTTTAGACAACCCCTACCATGGTCTGATCAATAAATTCGTAAAGTTGGAGACAAAATGAAGAAAAAAAAAGGAAAAAAAAGAAGCAAAACAGAGAAAAACGCTAAATTTTTAAGCTTACAGCCGCATCACGTTGAAACACCAATTCCCGTACGATCACAGAAGTTAAGCAACGTTAAGCCTGGTCAATACATAGATGGATGACCGCTTGGGAATACCAGGTATTGTAAGCTTTGATATGTGCGGTCGATGTAATCGATAATGTCTCGGAATTGTTAATCGGAGAGCCGAGTTCGAATTCCAGTTGGGTTCGTTATATTCGCTTATGCATAAATACCCTTGAGAAATGTATTTAAAAAAGTTTTTCTTTTTTTATTCTGTTTTCTATGCATATTTAGTTATTATGTACAGTTCATTACATGTAAAGTATGTTTATTCATTATACAACAAATTAAAAATTTGTATGTTTACGAATATTTGTTCCCCTACCCACTGTATGTGAATGTAAAAATTCAAATCTGGAGCAGATAAAATGTCTAAAAATGAGTCATCTTTCGTTTGAGTCGGTTTTGGACAAAAATGAATTTCCGCTTGGGAATACCAGGTATTGTAAGCTTGCATTTCTGTTTTCTTATACGTTGAGATTTTTCGAGAGTCACTATTTTTATTGGGATTGTTAGTGGAGTAGTTTCCTGTAGTCCTCTCCACAGTGATTTTATTGAGACACCACCTCTAGTTAACTCGTCAAGAGTTCTGCTTTTGATAGGTCTTATTTTTTATCCGACAGAGTTACTAACAAGCAGCAGGTCTATTGCAATTTTCTACAATACTTTAATGGGGCTCCGTATATTATGTAATGCATCACTAAAAGAAGCTGAAAAAAATGTCTACTTTTCTCTACAGCTCCAGAAAATATCTGTCTTATCCTGCTACGCTCTGTCTTTACAAAGAGCCAAATCTGCCATATCTGAGCCGTCGATGCCCCAAATCGAAGAATTGGATTACACCCTACAACTACTTTCCCCATGGACGAACCGTTGCTAGCCCCCCTTACGTTAACGCTATTTTCATGACAAATGTTCGGCCGAATTTCGTTCCTTCCTTCCAAAAGACAAGATTTTCACAGCTAGCATCCACCACAACACGTACACTGAGTCGACTCATCTTGATTCACTTCGTATTCCATTGGTATGGAGGAAGTCCTACTTATAAAGCTTCTTCCCCAGTGCTGTTGTATTGCGGAATAGAAACCCGAAAGGATGCTTCCCCGATCACTGCAATCTTCAAATCTAGAGTGAACTCTTTTCTATCCTACATATCCTCATAATATACACTTCGTGCTTCCCCCCTTTACGCTCTTACAACAGTAATATTTTCTAACCGTCTACCTTGAGTGGATCTTGGGCCTTACAATAGATGAACAATGGTAAAAATTAAAGCAAAAGGAATAGAGAAAATTATGATATATAACCTACTTTCAATTTTTCAATTTGAAGACGTTTTTTCGACAATATAAACATGAAAAACAAATACAAGTATCCCTCGATTAATGCGCATTCGAATAATGCGTTTTCGAATAGTGCGCAAACATTTTTATATACAAAAATTCGATTAGTGCATACATAATACACGGTTAGTGCGGTAAAAAATTCTTCAGTTTAACCATAGTAATTGAAAATTGAATTTTTTATAGTTACAGATATACAAATTAGCAGCACTAATCGAGCGATTCTTGTACTGAACTCATCTCCACAATGCCCCGGATTTGAGGTTTGAACAATGAAACATAAGTCGGGAGTTCTTTCATTTTAGTTTAATGTTGCGTGTTGCGACAAGTCTACAAAAGTAAAATAGGACACTGATTTCACATTAAAACACATTCCTCTGTTCACTGGCCTTCGGTATTAATTGAGAAAAAACAAATGTGAATGGTGTTCTCACTCTAGAATGATGACAAGAGGAAACCACGTCTTTCACGAGAGCAAATATTATACAAATAAACAGAGAAGAAAATCTCTAATTTTAATGCACGAAAAATTCTGTTTTCTTATACGTTGAGATTTTTCGAGAGTCACTATTTTTATTGGGATTGTTAGTGGAGTATTTTCCTGTAGTCCTCTCCACAGTGATTTTATTGAGACACCACCTCTAGTTAACTCGTCAAGTGTTCTACTTTTGATTGGTCTTATTTTTTATCCGACAGAGTTACTAACAAGCCGCCTCACTAGCAATAAATTGTAGTACGGGTGCAAGTTTAGGTGACGACAACTCGACAAGATATTTCATCCCCTCCTTTCTCTCTCCCTCTCTCTCTCTCTCTCTCTCTCTCTCACACACACACACACACACACACACACACACACACACACACACACACACACATATAATGGCGACAGTCTGTTTTATGCTTGAATGCAATCTTCAGGCTATCATGATGATTGCGTTCAAGCATGAAAGAGACGGAAAGAAGAAGAAGAAGAAGAAGAAGAAGAAGAAGAAGAAGAAGAAGAAGAAGAAGAAGAAAGGAATATAGCTGAATGGAAATCGAATTTCCTAAAGAAGTTCAGAAAATACAATTGCCGAAATCTTCAAGTATGAACATCAATGACAGATAATTCTTGCAATTAGCTTAATATACTATGCATTTAATATCCTATTTCTACAGAAGGATGCTGAGGATTTCATAGACCGAGTATGTGAGCAATGATGGGGCCTTAGAGAGGTTAAAAACAAGTGGAAGGCTTATACTTAACACCAGAAAGAGGCAGCTGAAATTTCTGTGACATATAATAAGGAAGTAGGACCTGAAGAATCTGACACTCACGGGTCGAATAGAGGGAAAGAGAGACAAGGGAAAGCAGTGCGTGAAATACCTGACGAGCTTGAGTGGGTGGATGACAGAAGGTGGCCTGGTGAGGGGGAAGCAGAGGGAAGGAACTTGCTGAGAGCTGCAAAGGATAGCGGGAGGTGAAGAGCCATGATCGCCTACATCCTGAAAGGAGATGGCACATAAAAGAAAAGATCCTATACAAATGTTATAGAATGTCCGATATCCATGTGGCTACGTTTATGAAATAACTGCCTGTTGATCATGTGCGGGATATCCCATACGCCATCTTTTATCGTTTAACCATGACAGAGAGCAGAAAAAGAACATTTCAAGTTATTCCCTGCTGTAGAAAGCAATAAAAAGCTACGCCAGTGATTTAGTCCTAAATCATAATTCTGTTCCGCTGTTGTAATATTCAGTGAATTTCCAATTCAAGAAATCCATTCATTCTTCTTATCCGCTGTCAGTTTTACGCATTTATTTCTTTTTTCTAAACGGAGCTTCGTTTTTGGTCTCAGTTGTCGCCGCCAGAATCATCGTAAATTTATTTTATTGTCATTTTACGCAGTTGTTTTGAGTAGCCAATGCAAGTCAGGTCGTGACAACGTTTCATTTTCATAATGGAATACGAATGGCACTTATTAATATATATGTATATTAAAATTACAGTTTTTTAATCTATCCGACTTCATTTAGGTTCTTTTTCTTTTCATCACTTCTGTTAGTAGATAAAAAAAAGATAATTTAAAATTCCCAGCATCCCTCGCTCGTGCGCATGTGTAGTTGCGCCAACATAACAAATTTAGTCCGCTGAAGTCCTGAAGGACGAAACGCGTCACAAGAAAACTTTTTCCACTTTGTCATACATTTTTCCCCAATATTGTTCTTGCTTGATATATATAAAAAATATATATATCGTTATCCCTATATATATATATATATATATATATATATATATATATATATATATATATAAGTACCTAGATGAGATTGCTAGAAAATGATTATAGCATGATAAAAACGGCCTTAAACTTTATGAAAATAAAATTTTAACGTGAAAAGGATTATGCTACTATTAAGAGGAAAGAACAAAGTATTTTTTAAAATTATTTCTTAAAATTTTTCCGTCGTTTTAGAACAATCTAACTTTTGATTAAATAGACTTTGTTTCTCTTCGTCGGCGGAAGTACAAAATAGCAATTTTTTGTGCTTTCTTTTTAGTGACAGACATTAATTTTGAAAATCTTGCAAAAAACGAAATAATTGTCAGATTTTAATGAAAATTTCAAAAACTATTCACGAATGATGGAAATTATTAGAAATATTTTATCTTTTTAAAAAATCATGATAAAAATATTTTTCTTATATATATATTACACCCCCAATAAATAATTTTATGAAAACTCTAGAAATTAAATGTTGAAACACGCAAGTTATTATATTTGTTAAAAGCACAAATCTTTGAGAAAAGTAAATCATGTTTTTTTTTTCTCAAATCGAACCTCATCTAACTAAAAATCAGCACAGAACTGTAACATACAAAACTCAATAAAACAAAGATATTATTTAATTTCAAATGCTAAAAGATTTCGATTTTAGTTGTTTTTATGAATATGCATAATATTGTCTGAAGGTAAAAACTTTTTCGATGAAAAATGAATTTTTAAAAGAATTAATTGTTATTTCCTAAATTATTTTATTATTTTTACATTAAATTTGTTAAATATTGTAAAATTAGTGGAAATGGCGAATCCTTTACTTAATTGTTTTATTAAGTAGATCACAAGCATTTACAATCAACGAGCATCCAGATATAGAAATCTTATTGTTCCTTGCCTTTGGTGTCCATAAAACGGCTGTAATTCAAATGTACGGAAGCCCGGAAGAAACATCATACAATAAAGACGTCACGTGATTTGATTTCGTATATAAATGTTGTTCGGCGCTGTTAACGGACTTTTACATTTTTACATTTACATTGGGCGAAACACAAAATTTTCACGAAAATTTCATGAAAGTCTCATACCAGTTGCATCGAATTTCTAAACCTCTGTTCTTACCTGACTATGAAAAATAAAATAAAAAGTGTATATGATTATGTAACTATTAGAAAAAAATTGCCTTTTCAATATTGTCATATAACTTAAGATTGAAAAAAAAAATAACAAAGAAAAATGTATAGCATTTCAACTTACAAAGTATTATGTAAACATCTTATGAAATTTATATGTGCTTAGTTTTATATTATCTCAGTTATGTCATTTTTCCATAAATGAAATATCAAAATTGATAATAAAATCAGTAGAAATCCAAATAAAACCGTAAAATGTAATAAATTTATATAAAATGTATACTACTGACAATATTTCATAAGAAAGGTAACTAATTAATTACGTACTTT